ATTAAGCTTTTATTTTAAATTAATATAAACATAGATAATATGCAATATAAATAAGTTTTAGAATCAATAACTTTAAGCATGACTACATATGAGCTTAGATTTTTAAGTGTTTTTATACCTATAAATATTATCAACTCTATAAACTAACTAACTTTTACTTGCACTTATATGGCAAGATGTTTTCTTTAAGTTTTCCTCTTTCGTGGATAGATAGTTTCATCTTGTAAATGTGTTTAAATTCTTCATATTGTTCAGCCTTTTAATCTTTGGTAGTAAATGGCACTGACTCTCTCATGAGAAGTGAATCACAGTTTCAAGGCATGTGATTGGCCGTTCATTACTGATGTCACTCTTTCATGTGCACATGCTCCATTAACTCAGGATCAAGCCTGAGTTGGCAGAGAAAGTTGATGATCAGCTTCATGGTACCAACAAAGCCGGATTGGACTGGTTTGGTTTTGTCAACTCAAAACGAATCCTGTAACCCCGAGTTTGTTCAGCCACCATCATGGTACAGGCCCAAGGTGCTCACAAAGCTAGATATAAACGTTCTCTGTCAACTTTGATGAAAGTGTGATGTGTGCAGCAAACAGCCAATCACACGGAACGTGGAGAGCGTCAGTTTAACGGTTTCATTTCTCACGAGTCAGCGCTGAAGATTAAGAGATGTCCTTATTAAAAATGTAATAAATGTAAATGCATTTACAAGGCAGGAATAAACACTTCTGCTGCAGCAAAAGTTTGGCAGCAGAAAGAAAATATGTCTATGCATTTTAAAAGTTGGATATAGTAAAGCTTATCTACAGTATATGTATGTGTGTGTATAGCCTGTATACAGTAAATAGCTTATATATGTATATACATTTTACATTTTACATTTAAAGACTTTTTGTCTTTAAAATTCTTTGACTGTAAACTGCTTTAATTTGGAGTGAGAGATATGGGGGAGTGGCTTCATTGCATCAGATATATGTTACTTTGCTCACAGATGATTGGTCCAGTTTGGGTTTGTGATCTCTAACACAGAATAAAACCTGCTCCGGAGCAGGGTAGCCGTGTAGCGTAAGTTACCATGGCGACGAAACCCGCTAAAAACCAACCCGCCTTCTTGAGCCCGAAAAATTAAAGTTTGCTCAAACTAAATGTGAACTTAACTGGGTAAAACCTGAAACCGGCCTTGTGCTACAGACCACTGGGGTACCACTGCTCTGCACATTTTGAATGTCTTCCTTATTTTAACACACCTGATTCAGGTGATTCATTGTGATTCAGGCTTGTTCAGGTGTGTTATTAACCACCCAGCCAAATAAGAATGATTAAAAAAAATAATAATTAAAACACCAAGCAAATAAAATAAGGTATCAAAACCAAAATTCGGCTTTATCATTTTTCTGTGGTGTGACAAGCTCAGAACATATATTTATTATTACTTTACACAGACTTTAAGGTTGGAGCTTAACCCTGCAGCAAAGTGGACATCAGGGCCAGAGTTGAGAACCCCCCTGCACATTTTGTGTGTCTACCTTATTTAACACACCTGATTCAGATCATAAGCTCATTAGGAGAGAGCTCCATGCAAAGCCACTAGAAGGCAAGCCTGCATGCAACCTTTTGCCAAAAAAGCGTAACGGCTAATGCAAATGCTTCCGTTTTGGCAGTACGTGGTAAAGGAGACCAGAGGCTGTTTTTTTTTTTTAATGGATGTCAATGGAGGAGAGTCTTCACTACACTGAATAAACAGATTTTTCGAGGAAACAGCTTATCATTTAATGAATCAACAGCCTATCGGTTAATCTTCAATATGTTTTACACTGAACAATACTTTTGGATTGAACTATTTTCAGAGTTTACACTGAAAAAAAAATGCTGTTTTATAAGAGAAGTCACTGACTTTTTGCGACAGGTGGGATTCAGTTTACGGCACTTGTCATTCATTCCTATGGTATCCGTAAACGGCGATTGAGTGTCACACAACTCGGACTGAAATTCAATGATGTCAAGACTGTAATGTGATTGGTTATTAAAAGGGACCTATTATGCAAAAAATATTCTGTATAAGGCGTTTGAACACAGTTGTGTGGCTGCAGTGTGTGAAAACAACCAGCCTATAATGGTAAAAATCCACCCACTCATTTTTTTTAATAATCCCAATAAATAATAAACAGTCTCTGCAAACGAGCGGTTTCAGATTCTCCCTATGTACACGTCACTGAAGGGAAAAAGTCCCGCCCATTTGAGTCACTCTCTGCCCTATTAGCATAGACACAGCCCTGAGTGAGAAGCAGCAGTCTGCCATTACTGTTTTCTTGCTGTAGCTGCTGGAGATATACAATTTCAGCCCCAAACAAGCATTACAAGTGTTGTGTTTTGGGATGCACCAACGAATATAGGAGTCTCCATAGACTCCCTCCATCTGAGCCGCTGAGGACACAGGATGCAGCTCATTTGCATTTAAAGGGACAAACACAAAAACTGCGCGTTTTGGCTCATACCCTAAAAGTGCCAACTTTAACAAGCTATAAAAAATTATCTGTGGGGTTTTTGAGCTAAAACTTAACATACACACCCTGGGGACATCAGAGACTTATTTTGCATCTTGTAAAAAGGGGCATAATAGGTCCCCTTTAAGGCACACGTGATCCAAGTTGACCATTATACTTTCTCCAATAGTCAGTAATACAGAGCCTCTCATCTCCCAATAGTAAGACAATCTCTGCTCCATGCACTGAACTGAGTGTGTCAGATAAGAGAGACATACAAAATGTGTAAAGCGGTGGGTGGGACAAGGATTGAAAACCACTGGTATAATCCATCAAGGTGTTATTTCAGAGGCATTTACCTGTTGCAGTCATACTGCTGTCTTCACAGGGATTTACTGCAGTGTGATTTTCAGTCTAATTGGCATCAGCATTCTGGAGACCATCCTTGTGAATTTTCTGATGGCCAGAGGAGCAGAGAAGAGATCAGCAGCATCAATAGAAACCACAACTGCTGGTAGGTTTACACAGAAGAAATACAGTAGAAAGAAATATAGTGTTAATCCAGAGCCATGTTTTGTCTTACAGATGCTATAAGATCCCTGCAGAGCCCTCAAGGCTCAGTCAGAGATCAGAATGAAGAACAATCTTGTACTCTGGACCTTCTGAAGCAGATTTTAACTGAGTATCTGGCTGGAACTCAACAAAACCAACAAGAAAATGCATCTCTGTGCTGGACCAGCGTGTCAAGAATGACAGATGTGACCTTCTTGGTTCTTTACATAATAACCATTATTGTGTTTCTGTCTGTGCTTGGGAAGGATTGGTTTCCATAGTGATATTTTATATGATATGGCACACAGTACTAACTTTTATTCATAGTGTTTTATTCAAGAATGCAGGTTGGGTTTAGTTTCATATTCATGGCAAAAAAAATTTGTGAAAACAATGAAAAAACAAACAAACAAACATAAAAACACCAGTCTCTAATGCTTGAGCTAACAATTGAAGGAATTAGGAAAAACTGCACTAATTTATGTTTCAGTTCTACCTGCATACAAAAGAATAGACAATATGAAATCCATTGTTTTTTATGATTCAGATTCCTTTTACTGTAAACCATTCTACATTTCTGGTTCAATGTACATTCATGGCAACATCGTATCTGAAAGTAAATAGGTCAACATTAGCCTACTTTATAAAATGTACAGTAGGAAAGAAAGTAAGTGACAGAATATAAAAATGGGTGCTCTTAGGTGTTGATAGTGCCCCCACCATCAATGATTTTATTGGGAAAGCCGGCATAGAAAATTTAATAATTTAGAAACATGTTAATTGACTGCATATTCTGCAAAAACAATGTGATTTACAGAATCAGACCAATTTAATTCATGACAATTTATAAAGTAATAAGTAAATAATTGAATAAATAAAAGAATGATTGACTAGATTATATGAGTTTTTGAGGGTGTAAAAAAAAATGTGTAAAGTGTCCCTAATCCTCTCCTTCGGGTCAATTTGAAAATTTATATAACCACACTGTAAAAATAAAAAAGAATAAAGTTTATATA